AAATGGCATAAAGAATTAAGCATCATAAGCAACAGCCAAATAAAAGGAGAAAACTTACATCACAGTTATTCTGGATTCGCTCTGGAGTAACACTCTTGGCGATAACAACTAAATTTCTTTGCAGACCATGACGAATCAGAACCTGGGCAGGAGTAACTTTGTGCTTATTCGCGATCTCAACAACAGCCTCCAATTGAAACATTGACTTAACGTTAGTCCTACAATTAAATAAAACAAATAAATTAACAAAGGCAATTGAAACCTAAAAAACGTAAACTAGATAGGCTTACTTAATGAACCCAGGAGAGCCGAAAGGAGCATAAGCTTCGACCTGAATGCCTTTCGATTGACAGAATTCAATCAACTAGGTGTTAAGCCAGTGAAGATGCACTTCAACCTGATTGACAGCTGGCATCATCGTTCCATGCTTAATGATATGCTCAATTTGGCGTTTGTTGAAGTTTCATACACCAACAGATTTTGCCAGTCCTGCTGGAACTAACTTTTCCATTTCTCTCCAGGTGTCTTCAAGTTTGTGATCCTCAAAAACGAATGCCTTTGGATCGTTTAAATTAGGATAAGCGCCATCTTGAAGATGAAACAAAAAAGGAAAATGAACAAGGTAGAGATCCAGATAATCAAGACCAAGATCTTTTAACGTTTCTTCACAAGATCTTTTAACGTCTTTAGGATCATGTCGATCGCACCAGAGTTTAGAAGTGACGAAAATGTCTTTGCGTTTAAGATTGTACTCTTTCATTGATTCTGCAATGGCCTGACCTATTTCTTTCTCGTTGCCGTAAAACATTGCACAGTCAATATGACGGTAACCAGCGCCAAAAGCTGCCTTTATGGCTTTGTCCGCATCATTATTAGTAACCTGAATGATATTAAAAACATATAAAGCGTACGTCATATGTTCCATAGGCAAGCTGGGGAATTTCGTGGCCACTATTTAACTTTAGGCACGGACCAAAAGACATCGAGAGCAAGAAATCGGTGAACGAATTAACACCAGTTAGATAGTTGGTTTAAACAAAAGGTCATATTTGTTTATATTTAAGAAAGGTCATTTCGATGAAATTGTTTGTGCTTTTAGGTATCATTATTTCGAGTTTCAGTTTAATTCATAATAAGTTGTGACATTATGTTTTGCCCAGTTTGCTTTTGAAAAGAATAATACTAATTGACTATTTGGAGTTAACTTCACTGTCTTAATCAATTGTTCAAATTTTATCAGAACTAAAGTTGATAACCTGGTGTATCTCTCACTTGTTTTTTTCCAAATTGGGTTCAAGTTAATTCTCAAAGAAAATTTGTTTTTCAATATATGCATTGTTTCGTAACTAGTTAGTTGTAAATGCAATCTCAAACAGATCAAACGAATGCTTGTGCATTCAGTTAGCTGCATAATTGAATTGATTCACACCCAAACTCTTTGAAATGAGTTCCATTTTCAAATTACTGGATTAATGTGTCTCCGGGTTTTGAATTTGTCAAGTTCAACCCTCAGAATGAAGTCCTTATGAGGATTTACTTCGGAAATTGTTGAAAACCAAGTAGCAATAACCGTGAAGAGTTGTCAGATTGTGAAAACGAATGAATGACAAGTATGTCATTGATGCTTGGGCTGTCGTTAACACTCAGGAGTGGTAAAACACTTTTCCATAAAGTGGAACAAGGCAATGGGTAGGCCAACTTGAAAAGCATATAAAAAGACGAAGAATAGAGTGAAGAGACAGCTTTCAAGTTCACAGATGGAAGCATATTTCCACATGAGTACACGAATCTGTGATCTCGATCTATTACATGATCTAACAGTCGANGGTTGTGTGCCTTCTCGAGTTGTTTGAGAGGCACCTCTGTAGCTGCAATGAGTGGCTCACAGAAATACAACATTATTGGCTGAATAAACATCTTGTAAGTGGTGTTGA